AGCCCTTACCAGAATCTGATGCTGATACACCAATCTCAGACTTCTGCCTCCAGAACTATGAAAAAATACATTTCTATTGTTTAAGCCAGTCTATGCTATTTCGTTATGGCAGTTCAAGCTATTTTTCCCTAGTCTTTACTACCACCATCGTACCTGATACCTGGACCACTTGGATACCCTTTTAACTGCTGGTGCCATACCTTCTCTTGGTTATACCCACTAATTTTTTCTCCAGAGTGGTCAAAGTAATCTTTTAAGGGCATGCTTATGTCCAGTTGTCCAAAACCCTATTACAGTTTATGATAAAGTTCAAACTCCAATATCACCTAAGGCTCCCTTATGGTCTGGTTTTGGCCTACTTGTCTCATTGCATGCTGGCCACCTTGCTCCTTTTTCTGTTTACTTTGCTCACCTAGCTCTTGCATGCCTCAGAATCTGTTTCTGGAAGTTCTGTCAGGAATTCTTCACCACTACTACTCCGCTGCCATGGCCAGCCTTAATGTAAATGTTGCTTCCTTGGGAGAGGATTCTCCATTTACCTACATGAAATTACACCCACCTTTACTGACTTTCATCTATTCTACTTTACCATGACAGGAATCCCAACTGTCATCAAACAATTCCTGTAATTGTTTAATGTTCCAGATTGTGAGTTCCACAGGAGCACAAACTGAATCAGTTTTGCTTATAGGTAGCATATAGAACCCAGAAAGTCCTCGATAAATATTCATTGGATGTCTGGATGTTGAGAATGAGAATGGTGTAGAAACATCTTTCTTACCTCAGGATCAGAAGACTGATTCTGCCATTAAGAGTAATCACAATTTTGACAAAAATTAGTCATGAGTAGCTGCGTTAACCTCCAATATATTGGGTCAAAAATGAAAGTATTTAAGGCAGGCAGTAGGGAATCAGACAGAGTGGAGAACAAGTTTCCTCTTGGATACCACTAGCCACAGAGCTCTGCTGACCACCTGGAATCCAAGCAGCATTCATTGGTACGCATCAGTGAGCCAGTTTAGTCATAAAGACAAAGCCACTTATATAAGTTTTTTGTTTGTTCACTGATTTGGTATGTCCTTATTGTTGAGATCTGTGGAAAAAAAAACCTCAGTCATCTGACTTTGAACTTGTAATAGACTTTATAAATGTGTCTCTTATGCTCATTTTACCATTTCTTTTGCTATGCATACTAATCTGCAAAGCAAGTTGGGATAAACTTAGAAAAATAGAAATAGGCTTTTGCATATTTATAAAGGAGGAATACACAAAAATAAGAAATACATTTTCTAAAAAAACTGGATTCTTGCAACCAGATATGGGAACTGTCACTTGGATTTGAGAACTGATGAAGAGTACTTAAAGTAATAACAATCCACATTATTATTTCCAGGCAGATGTTTTCTCGTACAAGTGACTAGGTGCTTCATATTTCATATTTAAGTAAAAGCCCTAACTTTTCTGTGGTTCAAATAGTAGGTACTAGAACTAAATACGCTCTTTACTTTTTCAGTAATGTGTTGATGTAGCATTTCCTTAGAGTAGTGTAGGATAAGGAGCACTGGACTGGAAGCCCTTAATCCTGGCTTCTGATTAGAAATCAGCATTCTACCACTAAAACATCACTGTCTCAGCCTTCATTTCCTTATCTGTCAAGTGACAGTGGTCTTCTATCCAAAAGTCTGCATTCAATAATGTTTTCCTTCTTTTGAGTTTATTATTTTTATTTTATATGGACACTTAAAAGCTAATAAATGAAAGCATACAAGGGAAAATGTGATTCTAAATCTAAAATTAGATTTTTGGAATTAAGCCTTCTAAATTGAAATCAGAGTCTGATTGAGAACTTTTAAAAATTCAAGCCCAGAATTCATAGACGTAAAGAGAATAAGATTAGAAAAGATATTTTACTGCCTGGTGGGATAAGAACAAAAATGATTAGTGGCCTGAGAATTAAATGATCTTTATAATGCATTTCAGTATCTGAGGAAAGTCAGTATGTAATGCATTCCATTGCTACAGTAAAAAAAATTGTTTTTGAGGCAAGGTCTTGCTATAGCCTGGGCTGGCCTTGAGGTCTAGATCCTCCTGCCTCAGCCTCTCAGGTGCTGGGATTACAGCTGTGCACCACTATACCTGGCTTGCTATAGTAATCTTTTACTTTGGGTTATGTTGTGAAATTTTCCTGGCTTCACGATACTCAGTAATGGTTTGTTTATTTTTCTTGTAAAATATTCATATACTGCTTGATTTTTTTCTGTATTTAAAAATATTACATAGTGGTGTCAAAAATTTGTATTCCTACTGCTTAGGGAGCTCTTTCTAAGCAATGGCTGGTGTTAAATCATATCCAATTAATGTATAAAATGTTTCTTTTCTCTCTCTCTCTTTCTCTCTCTCTTGATACTGGGGTTTGAACTCAACCACTGGAGCCATGACCTCTATAAAGTAGTTCTTGAAGAAATCCCTTGAGGAGCCAACAATGGCTTCTGTTTTTCTGGAAATGTATCTTCTAAATTGTTCATAATTTTTCTAGAGAAATTTTAAATGAAATTTCTCCTTTTTTTAGAGAAGTTTTTAATGAGAAAACTTTTTCTTAATAAATGTTTGACCATCTTGTCCTACTTCATTATTGTAATTTTTGATGGCACTTAAGTTTGAACTCAGGGCCTTATGCTTGCTAGGTAGGTGCTCTATCACTCAAGCCACTCTGCCAGCCCTGTTTTGTGTTGGGTTTTTTCCAAGATAGGATCTCCAGAACTGTTTTTCCAGGCTGGCTTCGAACTGTGATCCTCCTGGTTTCTGTCTCCCAAATAGCTAGGATTACAGGAGCGAGCCACCATTGCCTGGCTCTACTTCATTATTTATTGAGCTCTCACTTTACACCAGGAACTGTTCCAGGTGTTGGGACAGTGTTGCAGTTTAAGGGGTATAAAAATAACAAATAAAACTCCCTGCCTTCATGGAGGGACTGGGAACAGACAGACAATAAGTATAAGTGGGGTAGGTAATAAAAAAGCTAAGGGGGAAAGCATACACAGAACATGATGTTGCAATGAGAAATCCAGGTGTTAAGGAATGCCTCATTGAGAAGGTCAGATTTGAATCAAGACCTGAAGCAGATGAGGGGGAGCCTAACCATGAGGATATCCAGGGGGACTGAGGACGAGGGAAGAGCACACACAAATGCTTTGAGGCAGGAGCATGCCTGGCATGTCCCAAGAAGAGAGGATCTTTACGTGACTGGAGCGGACTGAGAAAAGGAGAAGCAGGAGGAAAGCATGATTTGACTTAAGTTTTAAAAGGATCCCATTGACTATTGTGCTGAGAATAGCCTGGTAACACAAAAAAGCAGAAGGGAGATGGGCTAGGAGGCTTCTGCAATAATCCATGGGAGTGGGATCATTGGGTGCACAGCTCCAGGAAACATTGCTTACACTGCAGGCTCTGTGAATGGCGTTTTCTGTAATGAGCAATGTATTACAGCCAGCAGCTGCAACTGGGGCCTGGGCAGCTAGGGTGGATGCAACATGAGTGGTAAGAAGTGTTTAGTCTAGATACATTTTCATGGCACAACTCATGTGATTTTCTGACACATTAGATGTGATATAGGAAAGAGTTAAGAATGATTTCAAGGTCATCCATTAATTTCATAAGTTATTAATATTTATTATGCCAAATACCATTTACTAAAGGGGAATAATTCATTTATTTTTAATTCAATAAGCATTAGTGAAAGTCTACCTTGAGATATACTGTTCCAGATTCTGTAAGGAATTTTTTTTTATTTTTTACTTTTTAAAAAACATTTTTTATTACCAAATATTAGTTTTATAGGGGGTTTCATTGTGACATTTCCATATATGCCTAAAATATATGTTGGTTAGGTTCATTCCCACCATCATTCTCCCTCTTCCCTACTTTAAATAATTTTGGCAGATTTCATTGTTCAATTTTCACACAAGTATATACAGGACATCAACCATATTCACAGGAATTTATTTTTTAAAAAGTACAATGTCATCAGCAACTGGAAAACTTGTCCTGCGAGTATTTACAATTTAGTTTTTTAAGCAAAATCTTCATATATGAAAGAACAAATGAAACAATAAAAGAACCAAATACTGTATAATGCAACATAAAACAAAAGTATGATAATGGGACTAACAAAATGTTATATAACTACTTCTTTAGGGAAATGGTTCAACTTTAAAATAATTTTACATTTGTTCTGTGTCTAATAAGGATCTTTCTAATGTTATGGAATTATCATTGTATTAATTTCTCCAAGCTCAAGTTGAAGATAACACTTGTAATACTGTGAATCTTATTTTTAAAAGTATTGACAATAGAGTTGGTTTTGAATGACCCTCGACACAAGTCTAAACACACATATACACAAACTCTGGTCACAGGATAAAGAAGTAGAAGTTGAAGGGCTAGCCATTCCAGTGGACTTCTGGTAGATCAATATCAAAATAGACTGCTTAGAGGTATGGCTCAAATGGTAGAGAGCTTGTCTAACAAATACAAAGCCCAGAGTTCAAATCCCAGTACTGCCAAAAAAAAAAAAAAAGATCAAAATAGAAAAAGAGGAGGGGGGGAAGAAAATGAACAAGTATGTTTAATGTTACCCGTTACTGTAAAAAAATGGTAACCTCATCCTTATAACAATTCTATTATTAGCCTCATTTTACACAGGAGGAAAAGAAAGTGTTAAAGAGGTTATTGCCCCTATTTACAGATAAAGAAATTAAGGGTTAGAGACTAAGATCGATGTCATATAGCTAAAGTGTCAAAACTGAATTGAAAATCCAAGGTTAGCTAAACTCCCAAACAGACAGAGAAGAGGGCAGTTCCCTATGATTCCTATTTCCTGGTGTTCCCACTGTGTGCAACCCCCTCTCTTGGGTCTGGTTTCTCAAGCACAGAGTGTGGCTTCATGTTCACTTAGAAATATTAGAGACACTCCTCATTGGCTTGCTGTTAGGAACACTCACGGGTTGAGGATCTGCAGGTGGCTTCTAGGAGTTGAGGGCAGCTTCCAGTCAGCAAGAAGTCAGGGCTTGGTCCTGCACCTGCAAGAAAATGAGTTCTGCCAATAACAAGAGTGAGCTTGGAAGGGGATTTTCCATAGTCAAGCTTTCAGATAAGAACCAGCCTGACTGGTGCTTTGATACAGCTTTACGAGATCTTAAGAAGGAGACAAGCTAGGCTGTGCCCAGACTTCTGATCCACAGAAACTATGACATAATAAATGTGTCCCTCTAAACTGCTAAGTTAGTGGTAATTTGGATACACCAATAGAAAATGAATCCACCACACTATCTTGGTTTTCCCTATGCTTGGAGTGCTGTAAATTCTGAGTAAATGCTAGCTGCTTTTATTATCATAATCAAAATAGAAATTTGGAATATTAGAGCCAAAGGGAAAGGCAACAGAGAAATTTGACAGAGTTAAATAATTGCTCCACAGTAATCAAGCAGCTGACACAGAAGAGAAAACCAGATGGTATGTTGAAACTTGTAATTATTGAGTGCTGTTATCAAGTGGAATATTATAAAATCCATAGTGGTGCCTGCTTATATGCACATTTAGTTTTAACATCTTATGTTATACTCAACACAATTTGGAAAGTTTCTGTACATACGATAGTCCTGGTAGACTGTTTACCTAGCATGTAGAAGGCCCTGGCTGAATCATAGCACTGAAAAAAAAAAAAAAAGATAGTACTACATTGGCTATGAGAAATCATTAAAACATAGTTTCAGATTAGAGTCATACTGTTATAAATTAAGATTTTTAAATTTAATAATTGCTAAATTGATGGATGACATAATTCAGGTCGTTGGGTCATAAAAGCAAATCCTGATAAACAACTATTAGCATAATATTTTCAGTTCATGACTACATGTGGATTTTGCTTACCAAAGATAATTTATTTATACTAAACACACAACGTATTTACATATATTTGGCTGAAGTGTAGGTTAGAGAACTTGGATGAGTAGAAACTCAGATTCAAAGTTTGTTATTGTAAAAAAAATAGGGGTTAGTACTCATATCTTAATTTTCCTCTTGCTCCTTGTACAATGCCTACTTGTCCCTCTGTATTTATACTGGCACACGAATGTATAGTTTCTGTCAAATGAGTCCTTAAAAATGGCAGTGTTCATTGAGTAGAAATGTTAACTTTACTATTGCCATACGCACAAATGTGCACTGAACATACAGTAAACATATGCATATGCCTTTTATAGGTATTTTGGCATTAGAAAACTTGCTATTCTCCCTTGCATGATTTTGTGTGTGTGTGTGTGTGTGTGTGTGTGTGTATGGTGCTGGGGATTAGCACATGCTGGGCAAGCACTCTACCACTGAGCTAAGTCCCTAGTCCTTGTTTTTGTTTTTTTTCCCTTCTTTTTTTTGAGATGGGGCTACTATGTGGCTCAGGCTGGCCTTGAACCTCTCATCCTCCTGCCTCTGACTCCCAACTGCTGGAGTAATGGGGGTACCACCATACCTGGCTTCATCTTTCATTATTCTTAACATGCCAAGTATAGTGTTAGTAATGTGCCAGCTAACTATGTTCTTCATATTTCTTTTGAGGTCAATGATAGACTTTTCTATCAGGTTTTCTTAATTTTCTGTCATCTTGATTTATAGAAATGAACACTAATAATATATCTACACATATTTATAATTTGGCATGCCTAATATTGAAAAGACTCAAGTAATAAGAGTTGGACCTCTTATATTGAAATTTATTGATTTACATTAAATCAATAAATTGTTTTGCAAATCTGATCAGTGGAGTTTTCTTTGTTGTTTAGATTCCAGATTATGAATTGTTCTGTGAAAAAGTAAAAGTAAATATCATGCTGGATCCCTAAAGGAACTAAGCACAATACTCAATGTGTATTTTCTTTTTTTTGATGCTGGGATTTGAACTCAGGGCCTACACCTTGAGCCACTCCACCAGCCCTTCTTTGTGTGGGGTATTTTTGAGATAGGGACTCTTGAGCTGTTTGCCTGGGGTGGCTTCCAAACTTGATCCTCCTGATCTCTGCCTACTGAGTAGCTAGGATTACAGGCATGAGCCACTGACGCCCAGCTCAATGTGTATTTTCTTCCTATGGCATGTTATCAACAGGTAGATAACCAGGAAGCAAACCTGTCTGTCTTGTTCTAGTGTCTGGGAACCGCCCAATGACTATCAATCCAAGCGCAAGCTAGAACTTGGAGTCTTTTTTGGAACAAGGTGAAGTATAAACACATATTAAAAGGCCAAACTTGCCAGGCTAAAGGCAGCTTTTCAACTGCCGTTGACTTCCTGAAGCGGGATTAAAATACAGGAACTTGATAAATCCATTTCTTATTATAATCTATGAACTGATTCTAGTCATAAGGTAAAATTGTTTTCGTCTTTGACCTTAGATTAAATTTGGCTAATCCTCTCCTTAATATTTTCATCTGTTTTAAATTTTTAAAAACCTGACAAATAATTGTATAAATTTATGGGATAAGTGTGATAAAATGTCTCTATACACATCTTGTAGAATGATTAAAACAAACTAATTTACAATCTACTCCTTAGCAAATACACATTTATACAGTGAAATACACATTGTTGTGCAACAGACCAGTAAAATTTACCCCTTTTGTCTAACTGAAACCATCCATTTGACTATCTCCCCGTTCCTGTCTCCCACACCCCTTGGTCTGGTAAATCATCATCCCACTCTGCTTCTGTGTAAACTCACTTGGTTTTATAAGAAGTCAGGAATTTAAGAGGACTTCTTTATTATTTTATGTTACATTTGTTTCATATTGAGGTTTTTCTTACTTGTAAAGAACTGAATCAGAAAAAAATAATGTAACAATTTCCTTTCCACTACTTTTGTTATTTCCTTTCTTTTCTTAGTCCTCTTTCCTCACCTTTACCTTTACCCCTTTGGTAAGTTGTGTTTGCAGTTTTCAAAGTGACTTCTTAGAAGTGAAACTTGCATCAGTTTTTTTTTTTTAACTTCCAAGTTACATTTTCATTTTTGATTTGTTAAAACTTGCTGAGTGTCTTATAAATGCTTGAAACTCATTTTTAGGTAAAAAAGTAGTTTCAAAATAGAATAAAGTCTTCCTGAAATTAAGACATAAATACTTAAATACTGAGGACTTTTTTGTTTTTTTTTTTTTGAGATAGGGTCTTGTTCTTTAGCCCAGGCTGGCCTAGATTTTGGAATCCTCTTGCCTCAGCCTCCTAGTTAGCCACTGAAGACTTAAAAATAATTCTAAGACATTCCCTTTCTTTTTGCGGGCTGTATTTTATTAGTTTAAGATTCTCAAGTCTCCTGAAGTCAGGCTGAATTGGAACACTGTTAAGAGTCAGAATTAGGAGGCATGAATGATAAACACATAAATACTCAAGTTAGTCAGTCTTCAAAACTACCAGAATAACTGGTTTCAGCGCCAGGCCAGGATGATGGGTCCCTGCAGGGGAGGAAGGCCTGGAACTTGGGGAGGCTTGGAAAGGCCTCAACGTACTACCTTGAGTCCACTGGGTTCTTGGGGGTGACCTTCCACCTTTGCACGGCAGGGACTGGGAGTCTGTGCAAGCGTCTGCTTTCACAGGTGTTGGAGTCAGTTGGCCTGGGGTGGGCGAGGGCCAGGCTGGGGGTTCGGGTCCCGGAAGGCGGCACCTGGGTGCTGCAGGGAACCCTCGGTGGGGGGCAGGGTCGTGGGGAAAGCGGACTGGAGCCGGGCGATTAGAGGAAGCGCAGAGGAGCCGCGCGGGGTGTCCCCGCCCTTCCGACCGCCTGCCGGGGCCGCCCCGACCCCTCTTCCTGAGGTGGCGGCGCCCCCCGCCCCCCGGCCCGGGCCGCGGCCCTCCCGCCCCGGCAGAGCCGCGCGGTGGATTGTGGGCCGGGGGCCGCAGCGGGCTCGCGGCAGCCTCCGGCGCGGTCTCCCCGGACCCAGCCGGGCCGGGCCGGCAGCGTGAGGGGGAGCGGTAGCGCGAGGAGCAGAGGCGCGGAAGGCCGTGGTCGCGGCGCGGCGGCGGCGGCTCCCCTGGAGGCCGGGGATGTGGGAGAGGCGGTGGCAGCAGCGGCGGAGGCGGCGCTGCGGACCCGGGGGAAACTGCTGGCTGACAGGACGCCCGGGAGAGACGTGAGGGAGCCGCCGCTGCCGCCTCGTACTCCCGAGCGGAGCCGGGCTCCCCAGGGCGGCCCTGCGCTCCCGGGCCGACGGGCCAGCCGGCGCGGCGCGGACGCGGGCAGCCGGGCTCGGGCCTGGGCTCGGCCCCGCCGCGGAGCAGCAGCCTCGGCGCGCCGGCGAAGGCTGGAGGCGGCGGCCATGCACTAGGCCCCGTGTGGGACGGCCGCCCGGGACCCGCAGGTAGGTGTCGGGTCACCGTCCGCGGCGGGGAGGAGGACCGCGACCCCACCCCACCCCCTGGTGTCCTCCCCGGGCCCCAGCCCCGCGGGCCGGCCGCCGGGGCCGGGCGTCCATTTCCCCGCCGCCCCCCTCCCTTCCTTTCCTTTCCTTTCCTTTCCTTTCCTTTCCTGCCACTCGCCCTCCCGGATCCGGCCCGCAGCCGGGCTTCATCCGTCTCCGGCGACGGTCGCCGCTCGGAGCCCGGCTCGGGAACTTCTCCACTCCCCCAGCGCGCCGACCCCAAACTTTCCTTCCAGCCCGGCCCGTAGCCCCGGGATAATTTTAGAAAAGCAGAATTGTCCCCACTGGGGAAGACTGTCCCAAAGAACAGCACGGTGTTGTGCAGTATGACATTTTAGTTTAATAATTAATTTCCTCCGGTTGTGCCTCCTTCTGTCTCTGCACAAATACAAAGGCAGGCTGTCCCTGCCCTCCTGTCGCTGCTCGGGAACTTTTGCCTGACCATTATAATTAGCCGCTTGGTTTGTCCATGTGTTGTGCAGGATGGTATTTTTAGGATTTTGGCCCACTAGAGTTGCCAAAAAAAAAAAAAAAAGATCCTTTTTCAAAAAATTTTCCCTTTTAACCCAGCTTTATTTATTTATGTATTTTGGTCTTTACAGAGGCTCCTCTTACTTTCGAAGAATTAAATTGTTCGGAGTGTTTTTGTTTCTGATTGGCTCTGTTTCCGGTTTGTCAAATCCAGGGAAGTCTTGATGCTTATTGGGCAAGTGATATCGGATTCATTATTAGTGTGCGAGGAAGTGTGTGATGACTTAGGCTGCAGATTTTGATGGACATTGACTTTTATAAGTAAGATGGGGGAGTTCTAATTGGAAAAGTGCCTGGAGAGCCTACATGATTTCTCAGCTGTGGAGGGGGAACAGACGGAATGATGGGATTGGTTTGTTTGTATTTGTGTTAGGTGAGTCTGGTTTCCTAGAAGTGGGCGTCGGTAGTTCACAGTGATTGAACCATGATAGATTTGTAAAAATGATCACTGGGTGCAATTGGTAGTTGTGGTTTAGGGGATTAGATGTTGGCAATTTTATTACGATTTAGCTATTTTAAAATCATGTTCTGGTAACTAGAATTATTGCAGTCAGCTTGTTCATAGTAAAACTATAAAGTTTTTCCATGTTTTGTGGTTGTGGATATTAGTACTTTTTTTGTGTGTGGGGGGAGGATTGGGGTTTGAACTAAGGGCTTTGCCCTTGAAAGCAAGCACTCTACCCCTTGAACTACGCCTCCAGTCCATTTTGCTCTGGTTATTTTGGAGATGGGGGTCTCGCAAAGTATTTGCCCGGGCTAGCCTCGAAACTCTTATCTTCCTCATCTCAGCCTCCCAAGTAGCTAGGATTATAGAAATGAGCCACAGCACTCAATGATAGTCATATGTTTTGTTCTCATAGAGATATTACTATTAGTGTTTGGCTTTCTGAAATGTTTTTCCATTGTTTTCAAAATTATGACTGATGAAATCCAACATTTACCAGGAAAAGGTGATTAAATTTGGAAATTTTATGTTTTCTGGAACAGTTAGAATTTATTTCAAATAAGATAATTAAGTTTTTATGTCAAAATTCAGATCATATAACCCAGGAAATGGCAAACTGCAGAATTTGCTCTTAATCACTCGCCTTTTCCTATCCATTAAAGTTGATTAAAATTCCTTTTTTCTTTTTAAAGACAGCTTTATTTAATTATAATTAACACACCATAAAGTACATCCATTCAAAGTATACAGTTCAGTGATCTTTAATTTACATATTTTTTTCAGCCACGCTGAGGATGAAATCCAGGGTCTCAAGCATGCTAGGCAAGGGGCTCTTCTCCTGAGCTATATCCCTAGCCCACTGTTTAGAATGTTTACTCAGTCATGAGACCATCACCATAATCTAAGTTTAGAACATTTTCCTCAGGTCTTGCTTCCCAAGTCACTCTTGTGCCCATCAGCAGTTACTCACATTCTCCCTGCCTACCCCTTGTCTCTAGACAACCATTAATTTACTTTCTATCTCAATATTTACCTAATGTGGGACTTTGATATGAATGGTATGGACTCATAGCTTGAAAAGTTATTCTTTTAAAATTTACTTACATGTTTAACTTTTTTTTTTATTTGGGTCACGGAATAGGCAGCTGAACATTTGTATTAAAAGGGATATTGTAAACAACTGATACACTATTTGGTTGTATCAGCATACAGATTGGATGAAAAAAAATTAGTATGAATGGCTTCAGTGACCTCAAGAGGTCATCTGGGAGTCAGTAGGTAAGTCAGAGGAGTATTTTTGCCATTCGATACTTAGACTATCAGGATTGAAAAGACCTTAAAGGTCTTGTGTTTACTTCTCCTTGCCTCACAAATAGCAGGAACCAAATGAAGAAATCTGAAGGAAAGGAGCTGAAATATATAGATTGAATGGTTTCCAAATAACAATATGGTCATGTAAAGTAAGAATTGGAGATTGTGGGGAGTGTGGGGATGAGTTGGGTGTTAGAACTGTTCAGACTCTTGTTGTATGCAGGTATTTGACATTTTACTAGGAGAGCTGGGGAAGAACTTGACATTTCTCCAATTTTGGAACAAATGGCTGACTTTGGTATGGACAGAGATGAAATCCATGGTAGAAAATCTTCTAAATTGAGGATTGGCAAACATGTTATTTGGATATTTTCTTGTACTGTTAACATTGGATTTTTAAAAATCCAAAATTTAAGAACAAATTTTAATTAACAGGACTAATTTGAAAGTTTCCTTTTTCAAATATTTAGGAGCCTAATGTCTAAAACAATGGTTCTCCAAGGGTGATTTTGACCTTCAAGGGACCTTTGTCAATTTCTGGAGATGTTTTTGGTTGTCACAACTGAAGGGGATGGGGGTTGCTACTGCCATTTAGGTGTTGCTAAATAGTGTACAATGCACAGGGCATACTCCACCTACACAAGAAAGAATTGTCTGACTCAAAATGTCAATAATACTGTTGTAAACCTGTGGTTTGTATGATTATGGTAAGGACATTAGCTAGTGTTCTTGACTTCCACTGGGTGGGAAAATAACTCTCAGTGGGCATTGCTTAGTAGATTAGATTAATACTTCAAATTATCTAGCAACTTCTTCTTTGCAGAGGGAGACCTGTTGAGGGGAAAATAAAAGGAAATCTATGACATAGATTTCTTTAGTCTGTCTTCTAATCTGAAGAAAAGTTTCTTTTTCCCTCTCAAAATGGCAGTCTTATATTACTACAAATTTAAATACCATTATGTTTGAGTTGTTGGTTATTACTGCAATTGAAATTACAAATAAACATATGGTAGTATCTTCTTTAGCCAGAGTGATTTTTTTTCTGGTAACTTCAATTGCCAAGAAAGAAGTGAGATAAGTGTTAAATTAATATATGTATATATTTACACAAATCTCATCTTTTTTTTTTCCCCCTATAGGTCACACTTTTGACTCTTTATTTCTACCTGCCTCTTCCCTGTTGGTCTGTCTGTCTGTTTGTCGCTCTCTTTTTGGTTTATTTATTTATTTATTCATATGTGCATACGTTTTTTGGACCATCTCTTCTTCCCCTGCCACCCCCCACTCTCTTTCCCCTCACTCCCTCGCTTTTGTCCTCTTCTCTAGTTTTGTTGAAGAAAAGACATAAGCAACAATAAGAAAGGCATAGCGTTTTTGCTCGTTTGAGATAAGGATAGCTATACATGTATACATGGTCTCTTCCATGCACATGTGTATTACAACCCGAACTGGTTCATCTCTACCAGACCTCTTCACTACTTCTGGGTCACCTTCCCATAGTGACCTCTGTCAGTTTAAGATTACTATATTAGCTTCTCTACAGTGGGCACATCAAACACTTTCAGGTTTTGGGTTTCCTGCCTTTCCCTATTCCTCCTGTATGTGTTCTCCCCTTGGCGTGTGACCCATGTCCAATAATATTACTGCATTTGTTTTAGGTCTAAAGTCTACATATGAGAGAGAACATACGATTTTTGGCCTTCTGAGCCTGGCTAACTTCACTTAAGATGATATTCTCCAGTTCCACCATTTACTTGCGATTGACAAGATTTCATTCTTCTTCATGGCTGGGTAAAATTCCATTGTGTATAAATACCACATTTTCTTAATCCATTCGTCAGTAGTGGCGCCTCTTGACTGTTTCCATAACTTGGCTATTGTGAATAGTGCTGCAATAAATGTGTGTAGGTGCCTCTGGAGTAACCTGAGTCACATTCCTTTGGGTATATCTCTAGGAGTAGGATTACTGGATCATATGGCAGATCTATATTTAGATTTTTAAAAAATCTCCAAATTGTTTTCCAGAGTGGTTGCACTAGCTTGCATTCCCGCCAGCAGTGTACGAGGGTTCCTTTTTCCTCAGATCCTCTCTAACACCTGTTGTTGGTGGTGTTTTTTTTTTTTTTTTTTTTTGTCTTTTTCTTTTTTGGTGCTGGGATCGAACCCAGGGCCTCAGGCATGCTAGGCAAGCGCTGTACCTTGGTGGTGTTTTTGATGATAGCTATTCTAACAGGGCTGAGGTGGAGTCTTACTGTAGTTTTCATTAGCATTTCCTTTATGTCCAGAGATGGTGAGCATTTTTTCATATGTTTTTTGGCCATTTGAATTTTTTCCTTTGAAAAAGTTCTGTTTAGTTCAGTTGCCCATTTCTTTATTGGTTCATGGATTTTGGGGGAGTTTAGTTTTTTGAGCTCCCTGTATATTCTGGTTATCAGTCCTTTGTCTGGTGTATAGCTAGCACATATTTTCTCCCACTCTGTGGGTGGTCTCTTCAGTTTAGAGACCATTTCTTTTGTTGTGCAGAAGCTTTTTAATTTCATTTGTCCATCCTTTCTCTTAGTTGCCGGGCTGCTGGGGTTCTATTGAGAAAGTCTTTGCCTATAATTATTCTTCCAGAGTATTCCTTGCTCTCTTCTGTTTTAGCTTCAGTGTTAGGTCTGATATTAAGGTCGTTAATCCATTTTGAGTTGATACTAGTACAGGGTGATAGACATGGATCAAGTTTCAGTTTTCTGTAGGCAGATAACCACTTTTCCCAGCAACATTTGTTGAAGAGGCTATTTTCCATCATATGTTTTTGGCACCTTTGTCAAAAATAAGGTGGGCATAGCTGTGTGAATTCATATCTGGGTCCTCTGTTCTGTTCCACTGGTGTTCATATCTGTTTTTGTGCCAGTACCATGCTGTTTTTATTGTTACTGCTTTGTAATATAGTTTGAAACCAGGTATTGTGATACCTACGGCATTGCTCTTTTTTGGTAAGTATTGCCTTGGCTATTCGAGGTCTCTTGTGTTTCCAAATGAACTTTAGGGTAGATTTTTCAATCTTTGTGGTGAATGTCATTGGGATTTTGATGGGAATGTAGATTGCTTTTGGTAGTATAGCCATTTTTACTATGTTGATTCTACCAATCCATGAGCATGGGAGATCTTTCCACCTTCTGCAGTCTTCCTCAATCTCTTTCTTTCAGAGGTTTAGTACTCCTTGTAGAAGTCATTCACATCCTTCGTTAAGTTTACTCCTAGGTATTTGATTTTTTTTTTTTTGAGGCTATTGTAAATGAAATTGTTTTCATATATTCCTTCTCAATTTGTTCATTGTTGGTACATAGAAAAGCTAATGATTTTTTTAAGTTGATTTTGTATCCTGCCATATTGCTGAGCTGTTTATGGTGTCTAGGAATTTTTGGGTAGAGTTTTTTGGGTGTTTGAGGTATAGCATCATATTGTCTGCAAATAGGGATATTATGACAGTTTCTTTACCTATTTGTATTCCTTTTATTTCTTCTTGCCTTATTGCTCTGACTAGGAATTCTAGGACTATGTTGAATAGGAGTGGGGAGAGTGGGCACCCTTGTCTCACTCCTGATTTTAGGGGAAATGGTTTCAGTTTTTCTTCATTAAGTTTGATGTTGGCTATAGGTTTGTCATATATAATACTGAGGTACATTCCTTCTATTCCTGTTTTCTTAGAGCTTTTATCATGAACTGGTGTTGAATCTTATCAAAGGCTTTTTCTGCATCTATTGAGATGATCAAGTGGTTTTTGTTTTTGCTTCTGTTAATGTGCTGTACTACATTTGCCTATGTTGAACCACCCCTGCATCCCTGGAATGAAGCTCACTTGGTCGTGGTGAATGATCTTCCTGATATGTTGTTGGATTCAGTTTGCCATTATTTTATTGAGGATTTTTGCACTGATGTTCATTAAGGAGATTGGTCTATAGTTCTTTTTGGAGGTGTCTTTGTCTGGTTTTGGGATGAGTATAATACTGGCTTCATAGAATGTGTTAGGCAGTATTCCTTCCCTTTCTATTTCATGGAAAAGTTTATTCTTCTTTAAAGGTCTGATAGTATTCAGCAGAGAATCCATTAGGTCCTGGACTTTTCTTTTTTGGGAGATTCTTTATTGCTGCTTCAATTTCATTTCATGTTATAGATCTATTTAGGTGGCTAATGTCCTTTTGGTTCAGTTTTGGATGGTCATAAGTATCTAGAAATTTGTCCATTTCTTCAAAATTTTCAAATTTATTGGAATATAGTTTCTCAAAGTAGTCGCTGGTGATTCCCTGGATTTCTGTGGTGTTTGTTGTTATCTCCCCTTTTGCGTTTCTGATTTTATTGATTTGGGTTTTTTCCCTCCTCATTTTAGTCAGATTTGCCAGGGGTCTGTCAATCTTGTTTATTTTTTCAAAGAACCAGCTTTTTGTTTCGATGATTCTTTGTATGGATTTTTTTGGTCTCTGTTTCATTAATTTCGGCCTTTATTTTTATTATTTCTCTTCTTCTGCTTGTTTTGGGTTTAGCTTGTTGTTTTTCTATGAGTTTGAGATGTAGCATTAGATTATTTATTTGAGATCTTTCTGTGTTTTTAATATATGCACCCATGGCTATAAACTTTCCTCTTAGGACTGCCTTTGCTGTGTCCCATAGGTTCTGGTAGGTTGTGTTTTCATTTTATTAACTTCCAGGAACCTTTTAATTTCCTCTTTTATTTCATTGATGACCCACTGATCATTGAACAATGTGTTGTTCAGCTTCCAGTTATTTTCTGCTGTTGTTTTTGTTGTTGAGTTCTAGTTTTAATGCATTGTGATCAGACAGATGCATGGGATTATTTCTATTTTCTTATATTTGCTGAGGCTTGCTTTGTGCCCTGAGATATGATCAATTTTGGAGAAAGTTCCATGGGCTGCTGAGAAGAATGTATATTGTGTGGATGTTGGATGAAATATTCTGTAGCCATCAACTAGGTCCATTTGATGTGTGGTGTGATTTAGTTCTAGAATTTCTTTATTGATTTTTTGTTTGGATGACCTATCTATTAGTAATAGAGGGTTATTAAAGTCTCCCACTACCACTTGGAGTCTGTATGTGCTTTTAAGTCCTTTAAAGTATGTTTGATGAAATTTGGTGTACTGAGATTGGGTGCATATAGGTTGATAATTATTATTTCCTTTTGGTATATTTCCCCTTTTACTAGTATGAAGTGTCTTTCTTTATCTCATTTGATCAATGTAAGTTTGAAGTGTGCTTTGTCTGAGATCAGTATTGCTACTCCTGCCTGTTTTCAGGGGCCATTGGCTTGGCAAATCTTCTTTCAGCCTTTCACCCTAAGCCAGTGTTTGTTTCTGTGGTCTGTCTCTTTTTTTATTCTTCTTATTTATGTGTTGGTTCTTTTATTATTTAAGTCTATAGACTAGCTGAAAGAAAAGTAAACACCTAATCACATACACACACGCACATGCCACACACATTTCTCTAGAAATGTGTCTACAAAACCTAGACAGAGGTTGTAGATGGTCCTCCTCATCCTTAAGCATGTATCTTCCATTTACAAAGACATTCTTCTATTCAGTTATAACATTTACTTAACAACATTATTTGGCATTATTTGACATATGTTATTTAAATTTGCTCCCAAAATCTTTATAGTCCTCCCTACTCCAGAATTCAGTCAAAGTTCATGCATCGCATTTGTTTGTTATGTCTATATAAATCTCTCCCAATCTAGACTAAACCCACTGCCTCTCTCTGTTCTTTAGGTTCCTCTGGAAAATGTAGAGTCCATTTGCCCTAGAGTATGCTCCACATTCTTAATTGTTCTCTTTTCTCATATTAGATTCTAGTCAGACATTTCTGACAAGACCACCACACAGATAATGTGTATCTCTACTGCTGTATTATAATGTGTATCAGGAGGTGCACTATGTCAGACAGCCCTAGTTTTGGTAATGCAAGCTTGGTCGCTTGATAAAGGTGGGGACTGGCAGATCTCTGTATTTTTTAATTAATATATAACTGATAGATAGGGTGGTACTTTATGGACAATTAAATATCCTGTTCCCTAACTACCTTTTAATCAATGGTTTTGGTGTTCATTAATGATCCTTGCATGAATCAGTCATTACCTTGGAGAAGTACAAATGGTAATTTTCGAACTTTTTCATCCCTCTATTTTATTGCCTTTATTGACTTTTGAGGGCAGTGAGGTCAGGTTAGATGAAGATTATATATAGATTACTGGATTTAGAAAACAGATCATTTTTGATTTTCTTGAGCCAAGTGAATAGTGAAAATGGAAGACATTTTGTTAGGGACAAAAGAGACAGAATTGAAGGAAAGAATTTTAATTTGATACTTGAGCCTTCCTCCCTCCCTTCCTTCTCATCCTTCCTTCCTTCCTTCCTTCTCATCCTTCCTTCCTCCCTCCCTTCCTTCCTCCCTCCTTTCCTTCCTCCCTCCCTTCCTTCTCGTCCTTCCTTCCTTCCTTTCTTTCCGTCTTGTCCTTCCTTCCTCCCTCCCTTCCTTCCTCCCTTCCTTCCTCCCTCCCTCCCTCCCTCCCTTCCTTTCTTCCTTCTCGTCCTTTTGTTCTTCTCTTCTTTGGTGGGCTGATGTAGAGATTGAAGATAGGAGTGTCAGGGAATAATTAATAGAATAAGGTCCCAGATGAAGTGGAAAGAGGTGAGGTCAAGAACAGTTAGTCAGGGGGTTAACCCTGAAAAGAACAGATGCCTACAGTCTACCTTAGAAAGTTGGGAGTTGTGTATGTTGAGAATAAGGTA